AATGTAAACAGAGAATACAAATGCGATGATGAATTTTGCTGTTTTGTTCTGCGCTTTCAAATACCCGCTATAGCGTACACGCGATCGATTGATTTGCTTTGGCTAATCAGCGTGGAGCATCTAATTGGATGCATTGCTAATCACGATTCAATAGCTCATTAGCTGTTTACAGGCGTACATCGGTACTATGTCATGGAAATTTGGAATATATATTGGAATTCATACATTATCTGAATGACGTAGAAGTCAATATATGATATAGAAAATAATATTCAAAATAAATTCATCTTTATGGTCATGCACTTCTTCCTGTCACCACTTGAGATATATTCTGGTGAATGTAACAAATTAAAATAGCATATTTGTTTATTGGTATGTTTTTTGTTGATAATGGACTACACGAAATGAGAGGTATTGTTTATAACAAGATTTTTATTCGCAAGCTTTTAGTGTCTTATGCAAAATAATAATGACATAATAATATAATAATAATGATATAATAATAATAATAATAATAATAATGAAGAAGAACAAGACCTGCCCTTTTACCGACTTTGATCTAATAATGTATGAAACAGTACGCTAAAAAATATATTTCAAATATCACAGCTATGTGTGGCATACCAAACTTTTCTCGCCATTGTAAGATGCATTAAAATTCTTGAATTTATAGCACCAAACTTATATTATTTTTTCTGTTCCTAAACATTGCAACGATAAATAATTTATCATAAAATAATTAATATTTTTAGAAAGTTTTTCTTTGTTAGGTTAAAGAATACATAAACCCGTTTGCCTGAATATTACCTTGGCCATGTAACTACACGAACAATATAGGTCCCGGGGTATACAAATATCGTACGCGGGTACTGGAGTGTTAATTATGATATTCTTGACTTCAATTACCAGGAGATCATAAAATTACCATGATAGCAGCGAGAGATTATATATTTTAAAGCAAAGGAAAAAGCATTCAATCTATGTTCATTTGCATGAATCGATCGGAGAATGTTAATTTAGGAAAAAACCTATGTGGAGCGCGGTGTAGACGCTTGTATTCATCAGAGACGGACAAATGGACTCACGAACAGCATTCTGTAATGAAACCGGCCACTACGAGGGATTCCAGGAGAGCGGAAAATAATTTTAATTTAACACTGCTAAACGCTGGTACGGGAAGAGCGGAGGGATCGAGTGTTTTTGAGGAGCTAGATCAGTTTAACACGTGGAAAGATTGGATGGATAGTTTTGCTAGCGAAGACAACGAACGAAGACCGCAATGGAGCAAACATATCACAGACGTGCGGCTTGTGCCGACGAGCGAGTATTTTCTACTTCTGCGCACGTCAATTACACTTTGTTCATTAGTGACGTGAGTATACTCAATGTTTTTTTCTCACGAGGGGGCGGGATTCCTGCCCAGCTGGACGTAAGATACATCGCTGACCTGCACATTCCCTTACAGGTGTAAATTCTCAATCGTTTTAATTGTCAGATTACAAATTCCAGTCGCGTCAAATGCTAAGGTCATTAGTAAGTGTAGTGCATGTTTTTGCTCGGGAGGTGGCGTTGATTTTCTCTCGCTGGATGGTGAAATCCGGCGCCGACCTAGTGAGGATTCCCCAACCAGGTATCTCGCATCAGCGGGGCAACGCCCCAGCCGGGACAAGATGTAAACTCCTGATTGGTGCCCCGGCATATTTGTGGTAGTGTAGTGCTTATAGGTAGAAGTGTGTGTAAGCAATGAATGAGGAAGAAAGTATCGCGCGTGGTCCTTGACCTGTTTGCTAGGGTACTGCTCGGGCATTCGCGTATTGTTGATCAGAGAAACCACGGAAAAACTACAGATCAGAGGAGTCAGCCGCTAGAATTCTTCTCCAGTCAGCGGCGGAACTCGACCTAGCAATTTAGCCTGAGTCCAAAACCCTGCCACAGTCGGGACTCGACCAGAGGACCTCCTGGTCAGAGGCGCTGCAATCGATTGATGCGCTAAACAGTCTCTCTCGGTGCGTCAATCGTTAGAGAATCACAGCTTAGGTAGCCATCGACTTCCCGTCAACGATTTCTTCTATGAGAAAATGAAGTTCTTTCTAAATAATAAAAAAAATATTTTCAATACCTCCTCTTACGTTACAACTTCCTGACCATCTCGAAGCTACCACCGTTAATATATCTAGCATACCATGCACACATTTGCAACGACCTGTGATCTGTGAGACTTCCGAAACAGTTTCTACTACTCCGCATAGAATTCTCCTTGTTTATTTAGGGTCTTCTGTCATAACACCCCGTTGCTACTAGAAGATAACTGACAACGGTAACCTACAGGTATTTCACCTAACAAGTATTTCCCCAGCAAGATACTGCCCCAGACGGAATGAGCTCAATGTCCTCTCCAGTCACCCAATACGTGTGGTAGTGTGGTGCGTGTAAGTGCTAGTGCAGGTGCGACTTCTTTGCAACCGCGAGAGATGCCGAACCGCCGCCGGGCGTGGGAACCATCACAAGAACCGTGGGGTTTAAATCGAAACCACGCTCCCTTTTTGTTGGAACGTTTCGTCATACCCTGCATCCGTAACGGGCCTCGAACTATGGCAGGGTGGCGCTGGGATGCGCATCACGTGCTAACCTGATTTCCCTCTCAGCGAAACACTTTCTCCTCAACAAGATTTGAACGGGAGGAAGCATCTCAGTCCGCCGCGCGCCCCACAGGACTTAGTTTGCGCGGCCCTGGACTTCGCTGAACAACTCACTCCAGCGGCTGAAAGCGTTTTCTTTCGCTCCTCGATTTTCTCTGGCGATCGCCCGCATAAGAAAGTAATCCCTGGAGCGCAGATCATTTGAAAATGGTACATGCATGTGTACACTATGTGATAAAAAGTATCCGGATACATCCAAAATGGTCTTATCGCGTGGTCGTGCTTTCCATGAAGGGGACTGGACGCCTTCTTTTTTTTGTGTGGCATTATCCTACGCAATCTGCAACGCAAGCATTTTGTGTGGCACAGGCCTGCGATGATGTTTTTAACACCTTCTTGCTCCCCACTGTTGAAGAGCAATTCGGGGATGGCCATTGCATCTTTCAACACGATCGAGCACCTGTTCATACTACGCGGAGTGTGACGGCGTGATTACAAGACAGTAACATCCCTGTAATGGACTGGTCTACACAAAGTCCTGACTTGAATCCTATCGAACACTTTTGGGACGTTTTTGGAACGCCGACTTCGTGCCAGGCCTCACCGACCTACATCGATACCTCTCCCCAGCGCAGCACTCCGTGAAGAAGGGGCTGCCATTCCCCAAGTAACTTTCCAGCACCTGATTGATAGTACACGTACGACAGTGGAAGCTGTCATCAAGGCCAAGGGTGGGCCAACACCCTATTGAATTCCAGCATTACCAAAGGAGGGTGATTCCATGAACTGGTAAATAATTTTCAGCCACGTGTCCGGATACTTTTAATAATGTAGTATATGTCTCATGTTGAATCCCTTTCTTCAATCTAGGTATCGTACATTTGAAAATCAGCACATATGAAAGAAAAACGATCAAATTCAACCATTCAAAACTAGAGAAAAACGAATGGTGCTTAGCACGTTATACCCTGGAAGTCACGTGATACGTACGGTATCTAGGAAGTAATGACGAACTAAAGCACATTGTGTTATTTTTACGATATTAATAGCAGTAGCCGAACTAAACAAAGAAGTGCATGGCTCCTATGAGTCCTCTACCGATTTTAGCCGAAACGCGTGCTTCGTGTTTCCATTTAAACACCCGAGGACTATTGATGCTTTCTCTCTTAATTCCTACCGAATTCCAACACAACTAGGGGTGCTACGATAGCTCATACTTTGTGGCAATATTTGTATCTTTTGCAATTTTGGAAAATTTAGAGAATTCCAAGAAAATGAGATCTGCACTTTTTTAGCTCCTCTTTCTCCATCTGAAAAAAATGAAGCCGTTTTTGAAAAAAATAACCATTATTTTAGGTAAAAATAACACGAAAGATATTCATATTTTTGAAATGTACCTGACTATATGTAAAAATAGATTTTTAGAACAATTTCATGAATGCGATCTGCACTATTTTTCAGCGTCCTTTGCCAATATATATAAATTGGAGCCGTTAAAAAATTATTTTTACAAATCCCCAATACTAAAACTCACTTCTATTATCCATCCTCTCACCCCAAACCTACTCAACTTCCAAATAGGTGCCACTAAAACTATCAATTCGTCCCGCCCAATTTTGCTTCAATAGCAGCTAATTCTGCGGGTTGCGAGTTCAGATTGATAGATTTTAATTCTTTTATTAGTTATGGAGACGTATCTTAGGTTTTGTTCCATCGTATCGTAGATTATTAGTAATAATTTGTAAAAAGACATAGGATTTTATCTTAAAATAATTGCCCAAACTTCACGATACAATCGCGAAGATTGTGAAAATTGTTACAGATTTCCTCCTATTATATTGTAATTTATTCTGAATTATGTTATAGATTTCCTTCTATTATATTCTAATTTATTCGATGTTAATCCCTTTCGTTCATGTTCTCCGGGTACCAAAATAGAATTATCCGATTATTAACTGGTTGATAATGACCTTGTCAGAAATGCGACTTTAAATAGATAAATTATTGAAAATAAGCAATTTTTATTGAAAATTACGTGTTTTTGAAATGAATTATGCACACAAGTGTGTGCTCTATTCACGTTTAATAAACATATTTAAGAATTAGTTTTGTGAATGGAGAATTTCTACATATCCAACATTACAATCATATTTCCGACAAACCTGATGAGCATTAAATGACACAAGGTTCCGTATTAAGAAATGCTGTGAAATAAAAGCTTTAAGGACAATACCAGAGGCAATGCATCGAGATACTTTCTCGGATACGAGTTGAAACTTGTTTAGGATCCGAGGGGAACAAGTGACGAACGAAAGAGGTGAGGAAGTGAAAAACAAAATAGGTTTACAAATGAAACTGACTTTTATTGTTTCAAAATTTTATTTTGATGTTAGTGCAAGAACAATACTAGTGATTAATAATGAAGTTATTCTGTTTAATTCCATATATTTTAACAATAAATATGTATGAACTTCAAGAAGTAAATTATATCAGTTTTAATTATTAGTTCGCTTGCCAGGTGCCAAGAACGTGGAAAATCATAGGGAACCACTGGTTAGGAAGACCTGGAAAAAGGTTATTAAGGGTCGGACAAGACTGAATGACTAACCCACGATAAAAATTACAACCAAATTTCACAAACATGCAGAAATACAAGTAGGTTAAGCTATTATAACTTCAAAAATGAAAAGGAAACTTCAAAAGGATTCCTTGTCATTTAATTGCTTTATCTGTGTCCAAGAAAAATAAATCTGTTTTAGAGAATACTAATGAGAGATTCAAAAGACAGCATAAATATTAATTACATAAAAGTTATTTGTTGTGTGATATCAACTTTGCATAAGTAAGTTAGTTTTTTCTCGTCGATATTATATTTCAGACAAAACATTTTTCACAAATTTTCAGAGTATCTTTTAAATTTGTTACTGTTCATTAAAATAAAGTTTAACTGTTTACTAAAATCGACACAATACAATTTTATAATAAAATATAGCACTTTTTATTGACCCATTATTACTTGCTTGAAAAGAGGCTAATGACCATTTATCGGACAGTAATAAACGCGTAATTGCTTGGGTTGCATTCTCATAATTGCTTTCCTTTTTAATATTGGATAATGAAATGGAATACTGTATGATGTTAATAAGTGTAAGTCAAGAGAGAAGTGACTGATAAAAGTCTCGAATCTTGTGGTAAATGTTTATGTAAAATACACGAAAGGAAAACGGAAAGTTTACTTCTTAAACCGATATACAATAAATAAATAACCAGAGAGAATAAATGTTTAAAAACTGAAAGGTTTTGGGCATTTAAATGCATTATTGTCTACTATTAACCAGTGTTAATAGTAATATTAATAATATTATTACAATTATTATTGCCCAAATTACGGGATATTCTATTTTTGCCTTTTTGGTGATCTGTTTACATTTATATACTCGCGACAAAGAGCCAAAAAATATTTGGCCTTTTTTGTCAAAGAATAGACCTGTTGTTTGTAACGTAATTATAAAAATGGTGAAAGTTGAAAACAATTTACATGTTACTTATTGACAAAGAAGGGTTATTTGAGATGTTATACACTGCAACACAGTTATATCGTTCTTCATCAGTGTAACGGACGCCTACATCGTACATTGCGACATTCCAAGCCTTCAGCACATTCCGTGTTCTCGCGGATGAGTTTTTGGCACACTTCTCCTTCACCTGTGAACAATTTGCAAAAATGCATTTTAAAATTTCCCATTTTTATAACTTGTAAGATAGTTTACAAATCATTAAAGGTACAATTAAGTATCTACAAAATAAACTCTAATCTTCGTTCTGGATAATTCGTAGAACTGTGGTACCTTTATTTCCAATACCAAAAATTGCTGTAAGAATTGTGTTAAAATACAATGCATAGACGCTTCAGTCAGAAAACTTCGCAATTTCTGTTATGATCTATTTGTTGATATTGTCATTATCTAGTGTTTTACTTATTTTATTGTACTTAATTAACTATGTTAGTTGATTTCATATGTTTTTCATATGATGATCATTTCATACATTTTTGTTCTCATAATAACCAATGTTAATATTTTTACGAAATACATACTGTAGTTTCAAAAAATTACAGCTATTGAAAATGAATCTCAATTTGCATCGGAAATATCGTAGTGTATTTTAATTAAAATAAAACAACCAATATCAACAGCCACTAAAAGTTGTATGCGAATGGGTGAAAACCAGAACGGTACAAGTGACATTTTATAAATTCAGAGCAATCCTTTAAGTCAAAATTACTGTAATGTTTTACGTTTACGTATACGTTTTACGTTAACTTTATTTATGTAACTTATACCGTTCTGGCTTTCACCCATTCTTATTATCCCCTGAAAACCAAAATATTTTAAGTTTTTCTTTATCAAGACTACAATTTGAGAATGTGAAGCTAAATGTCATGATGTATAAAGTTAAACATTAAAAAAGTAAAGTATAGATCTTATTTCTTAGTCCCTTATGGGAAAGGACTTGGTTGCTTTTGATTCGTACAAAATGTTTAACGATGTTGACTCCCAGGAGAGCCCCCAATATTTTGACTTTGCATTCTCATATTGAAAGATATTGATAACTTGGATATTTTGCAAGGTATTTATATCTCTTCGTACCTAACCATCGCTAGTATAGGAGACATCCACCTGTGACTGCAGGTATTCACTCAGGTCCAACAAGCTCGCCCATCCACCATAGCAGAATCACACCACAGTACTTCCAGAATTTTAACCTTTTTATTACTAATTTATTACCGCAAAACCAACTTTTCACCTAACAAATAACGGGTGGTGGGCTAGCTTGATATCAAGCTGGTTCACTCACTATAGCAGAATCAAACTCACCCAGAATCACGACGCAGGTGTAACAATGGCCACACAGCATCAGGCGTCCGCTACGGCACTGATCAGGCGTCACCACCGGGCAAGAACCGCCATTGTTGTTGTTATTGTTGCCGCCTAATCCCAAGTTACTGGGGTTTTCATTATTGGAACTGTCATTACTGTCACTGCTGCTGCTGCTACTGCTGCTGCTACTGCTGCTGCTGCTACTGCTGCTGCTGCTGCTACTACTACTCGAGTCGTCACTACTACTGCTACTGTCCTGGCGTCTCTGTGGTCGCACGTTGGACTCGAAGCACTGCTGGATGCGGTCGGGGTTCGGGTTGGGGCCGGACGCCTGCAGGCGGGAGCTGTGCAGGCGGGAGCTGCGCGCAGCCGCGCTCGCCGCCAGTGCGAGGAGCACCGTCACCAGCAAGGAGAACCTCATCTGCAGCAAACACGTAACAGACGTGATTTAGAAGCTGTTTCTGTTCAGCTCTACATAGAACACCAAATAGCGTAAAACTATTTAGTGAATGGGTGAAAACTAAAACGGTATAAGTGTATGCATTTTAACAATTCTGAGAAAACACGTTTATTTTAGGCTGTATTTAACTGCCGATGTATTTTGGTGGTGTTAATGAACAATTGAAATGTCGTGGTTTTAATGATGAAACAAATCATCAAGACTTTACAGTGATATTGACTTAAATAATCAGATTTTTCAGAATTTATAAAATGTCACTTATACCGTTCTGGATTTCACTCATTAAAATATCTCGCAAACTTAGATTCTAGTAATAGGCACGAAATTTTGTTATGAACACTCCTGTGAGTAAAGATAATGGTAAGGAAGTAGTGCAAATGATTGCGCGATGAGATATTTAAAAAAATATGTTGTAATTAAATTTAAGTAGTGGAAATAATTAGAATATTGAGAAAAATAAATTAAAATATAAAAGATTACTCACTCTGGAATTAACAGCAGCAGTTGTAGCTTGCCAATGGCAACGTGTGGTATGCAGTGAGGAGGGATGCTGCTTTATGTATATTCAGACATGATGCTGACTCCGTAGTTGTTTCATCACTCCCTATGCTCTTTACCCCTCCACCAGCCTTTTCGCAGTTTTTCCCCTCGCAGCTATTTCTCGATCAACGTGAAACAGTAAAGGCAGAAACGAATACTTACAAATTAACCCATTATCTTTTAACAGTTAGGCAAGTACTGATGTTGCTACATAATCAGCTCCTTTCTCAACGAACTCCTATTTCCGTTTGGGCAAATTATTATCAGCTTAACTTACTTTCGTAGTACATGTTAACAGGAAGTAAGAAAACAAAGCGTGCGAAAGAGTAAGGGAAGATATTGATCAGAGTATTGGTAACGTCAAATCAAAGAACGCATGAAAAATGACAAAGAACGTCAAACAAAATGAAAAACAAAGTTCGGTACTACAAACTACAAGTAGAGATCAATTTAATATGGAGATCTTTTGAAAGAAAATAGGCTAGAATTTATTAACAGGTATAACATAGAGTTCAAGGTTCCGATTTGGACGGCCGAAATGGCTAGAGCGTTTGGCGACTCAGCGTCTAGGTCTGAAGGATCGCGGGTTCGAGTCCCGCCGTGGGCATGGTTGTTAATCCGTTGTCTTTCATACTTGTGTGTTATCTGCTGGTCTATTCCAATAGTTTAGTGTAATATGTTTCCCTATGAGAGTCGAAATCGTAGTCACCGAATCGTAGTCATCCCTAGTCGAAATCGACATCACCTGAAGCAGCAAAAAAAAAAAAACCAGATAGAAACAAATAGAAAGAGAAAATATAGTTCAACGAAACGAATAATATTGAATATATTACAGCAGGAGAAATGAAAACTTTGGTACAAAAACAGCACGTACTTTCTCTCCTTTAGTAATGGTTATGCAATACTATTTGCATCACAATTTCTCTCCAAATTAACACATTTCAGTTATCATTTTTTATAAAACTTATTTGAAATCGTAGAACGTTTTGTGCGAAAATTAAATAATCTCAAGTAAAATATATTTAATTCAAACCACTAAATATCTTTGAATTCGTTGTATAAGGTGTGCAGTGATTCACAAACATAATTGAAGAATTTTTAGCTGAAAAAAGTGTTGTTTTTTTTCAAAATGTCCGTACGTGTATCTATCTGCCCGTCGTCTCTGTGAACACTACTAGCACCTACATCATTCGTAGAATTTTTTCCATTTATTCCATTTTCGTATCAAATTGCCATTTAGGGCAAGGTTTTATGTCTTTTAATAATCTGAAATTAATATTTCGGTTTGTTCTAGATAATCGAAATTAAGAAAATGTTTAAAAAATGTACTTTTGGCGGGCAATAGATGAAGCTGGCAAGACTATTTCGCAAGTCCGAAGAGCTAGCCGAGACCAAAGGAAATAGGAAACTAATAGGGAAATGTCTGTCCATTCTGTAGCACTACTGTTCCTTAGTATAAAGTATTAAAAATAATGCTAATTAACCAAACAATCAATTCGAAGGGCGCGCTTTGTGGTGGATACCTGCATTATTCGATAGCCACGAAATAGTAAGTCATTGCTAACTTTCAGAAAGGAAACGTACCAGAATCAGCGATCAAATTTCTTGAAGTACAGAAGTAATTTGTTAGTTGTAAGTTAAAGTTCTTACTTTCCACCAATTATTTTTTAGGAAAAATTGAACATGATCTTATTTGAAGATCTGATTTTGTTGAAAACATTTCATTAAAAATAAAGTCTATCTTCATAATTGTAGTTGTAGGAAGATGGCGAACAAATTTTGAATTTGTTCATTTTTCGTAAAATCAGAGTTATCTATCAGACCTTCACCATTTTCTTGTTTCTCTTAAAAAAATTATGTAAGGAAAATTATAAATTGCGTATATTTGAGAGAAAATTATGCGAAAAATACTAACATTTTCGAAAACTTGTAGTAACTTTACTTCAAAGTCTATCTTTAAGAAACATTTTATTAAGGGAAAATCTGTATTATTAATATTTAGTTGCAGAAAACAAGTTTGAATTTTTTCAGTTTTCGAAATATAATAGTTTCCAACCAAAACGAGACCTGCACGATTTTCTTAACGTCCTTTAGACTATCCAACAACAAAATTTAATGAAAATCGAAAGCTCCATTTTTTTGGAAATTTTGAAAATGCCCCAGGCGCTTCATGTAAATTTCCCCCAAAATTTAAATATAGATTTCAGATTTAAGGAGACGTGACAGCAGTCAGATCTTTAGGGGAATATCAAGTTTGGGAAAAATCGACTGTACAAGTATAGCCGCATCACAGACAGACGGACAGACATTTTGCCGTCATTTGATTTTTCGATATCAATTACCTATAAAAAAATGCATTAAGGTTACACCACATATTACAGAATATTTTTTAAATTTAGCAACTGGAATTATCCAATATTTTGTTATCAGGGCCCTGTAATAAGACTTTTTTCTACCGAAATTGCCGTTTTGTCGCGCAACTTTCTCTTCTTGAGAAGTTTCTTCTTAAGCGCGAGAAAGTAAAAAAAAATACAAAGATTTAAAAATTTACACAATTCGATTAAATTTTTACTTATGTGCTAATTTTTTTCAGAACTAATGTATTAATTTCTTTTGTAAATAATAAACAATTGACTTATTAATAGAGTGTTTATATGTTTTTGCAGGGCACGTTTTTGCATAGAAAGTATTTTTCCGAACCGACATTTGCGTGCTTATTGCGGCAATTTGGAATATTCGAGGAGTTTATTCGACAAATTATGCTTAAAATTGTCTTAAGAGCTTATTTCCGAAGTTTCGACGTTTCCTCCCTGGATATCCTGTGACTTTCCGCATGGATGCGCCAATGTGTAACATCAGGGAAGGGCACCCACAGGAAATTCAAGAGCCTGGGGGCAATTGATCCTCGGTGTCCCTTATTTCGAATAAAAGTTCTCTCCTCCCCCACTCGTAAAGAATTCATTTTCTCACGCACCCAAAATATTTTATAACATTAAATTTTCTTTAGAGATAAATATATTTTTTTTTCTTTCTTCTCATCGAAAATAAAAATCGGTGCCCCAATTAAGTCGGGGCTTCGGGCAAGTTGTTCCCTTCTGGACACCCCTGCGTCAGGGTACACCCACGTGCACTTAGATCAGTGTGCACCTCCACGTGATCGCCTGGCTGGAGTCGGCCAGCTGCGCGAGGGGGTGGGGGGGAAAGCCGGGCGGAGGTCAGAGGCGCCGCCGCTTATCTGCGCGGGCGCTGGCGAAGTGCTGCTGCAGCGCAGCGCGTGGCCGCGTCTCGCACGCGCGCAGCACACTCTGCGCCCGCGCCCGGGCGACGCCTGCGTCACGCCTGCTCGTGAGTCACGCGCGGGAGTTTCTTTTCTATTTGTTCTTTTTTTGGTTATTTAAGGTCGCATCAACTACTAGATATTAGCGACCACTATTGCGTGTAACGGTATGGTAACTATGATATGATGATGACAGAGGTGTGAAAGGACGAACACAATACAACCACGCCCGAGGCGGGACTCGAACCCGCGATCCTTCGGTCCGAGATGGCTACGGCACTACTCCCTTAGCGACCTTGGCCATCCGGACCGGCGGGAGTTTCTTGCTTCGCCGTTTCTTCTACGCCCATAATGCTAACTGACACATTATCTTTTATTTGTATTTAGCCTTGAAATGTCGTCTAAAAGGCAATTGGCCTTGGCGCCGTTTTCCCCCCTGTTTTTCCCGGATCTCGTTTTTTTTGGTCACCCAACCAGTAGCCCGCGATATCTCGAATTTGCTTAACCTTCGTGACTTCACGTGGTTAACGAATTCTGCTAGCGTCGACGGTTTCGCGGCCGTGGCCTTCCAGTAGAACCATCCCAGCATTCGCCTGGATGACCGAGGGAAGCCACGAAAAGCCCGGTCAGCACGGGCCGGCACGGGGATTGAGCACGGGCCTCCCGAATGGGAAGTCAGCGCCCTATGCTCTGAGCCACTTCGCTCTGACTGACACATTATAGCAGAACACACAGAAAACAAGCTTATAATTTTAGGCTAATTAAATGCTCTACCCTGAAATTTTAGGCTCTTGTAGTTTTCCAAAGAATAAATTTGTGCTTTAGAATAAAGCCAGCTCACATAAAATCAAAAATTCAAGTTACAACAAACTACTTACACACGAATTATAGGCCAATTATACTCTCACAAACGTTTCTAATATTATTTATAAATATTATTGTAAAAAATATTTCGAACTCTCAAATCATAGAGTAAATAAAACCAACTGATTAACTGCAAAGAAGAGAGCCAAACAACATATATCTGATGCCATATATTCAAATAATCGTGTACTAATTGCTGATGTAATGCGATAATTTTGTGCTCGTCCACTTTAGTTAAAAATGTCCTAACAATAGAACCCAACCACTCAAGATCGCACTGCGACTA